AGCGAGCTCTTAACCAACTGAGCCACTCAGCCGGCCCTATTAAGTCACCTTTTTCATAGTTACCTTACTTTCCTTATTTTTAAACATCCTTTCTTCCTTCACTTCCTTTACTTTTAAGACACAGAAAGTCAGTACTGAACTGTAGGTGTTTTAAAACTTGATCTATGAAGTCCCTCTAAACTAGTGATTCCTCATGTCCCCATTCCTCTTAATTAAATAGTATTTTGGTGAATAGTAGAAAGCATGTGCATAATAACAACTCAGAGTGCAAAGCTAGGTAGATACTTCTGACAATAATCATTTCCTTGATAAGTGAGCACACATTCATAACATGGCACATTATACAGAGCAGGCTAAAGTGCGATCCCTGATGACCCTGGTGCTGTCCATATTTGAAAAATGAGTATCCATAAACCATATTAAACTATAACTTGATAATTATAATGTTTATATTTTATTTATTAAAGAATGTAAGACTGTCTTAAATATAGGTAGTAATTTTACCCTTGAGTGAGGAATAAATTTATTTAGTGAAAATAAATTTATATGAGAATGGAATTTTGTATTAAAGGAATTTTTGCTTCCATAGAATTTCCTACCCCCTTGGCTAAGCCACTTATTTTTGCTGTGCATTAGAATTACTTAAGTTAACTATAATTTATAATACCAGATGGGTTTTCTTAAAGTGCTATTGGTATTAATATAGGTACTCTAATTAGGATTTGTTCCATGTTTTTGGTGCAGAAAAATGATTATTTTTGAGAAAAAGCTAGATTACTAATTCAGTTCAGTGATGGTCATTTCGACTGAAGCAGACCCAGATCTGGCAGATATTTGCTATTATTCATTGCTATTTTATTAGAAATTATATTAATGAGATTTTAAAATAATACAATGTAATGTTCCTTTAACTATGAGATGGTGAGTGAAACATAGTTGAAGTGAAATATTAATTTGATTCAATAATAGTTTTAACATTTATCATATACAATATTATTTATGTGGATGCTTTTATGTTTTTATTTTAAAAGTTATATTATTTCATCTAATTGTAAAATACTAAAATAATATATAAGGATGATGGCAACCATATTTTAAATAAAGTTCAGAAAGAGAGAGATTACAAGAAAAAGTTTAATAATTGAGCTTAAAAGTTTTTTTTCCCTAACGTAGGAATGTTAGTTTTAAATCCTTGTTATCTGAAAATAATATTTGTGTGTAGCACTATGAAAATTGATGAAGTTGAAGAACATAAGGACTTTATTGA